GACTAATGATGTTGAGCATCTTTTCATGAGCTTGTTGACCATTTGTGTATCTTTGGAGAAATGTCTATATAGATCCTTTGCCCATCTTTTAATTGTGTTGTCTTTTTGTTATTGAGTTCTATCTGATTATAGATACAAGTACCTGCCAGTTATATAATTCTGAAATATTTTTTCTCAATCTGGGGGTTGTCTTCTCACTTTCTTGATAGTGTCCTTTGAAGCAAAAAAGGTTTTAATTGTGATGAATTCCAATTTATTTATTGTTTTTTCTTGTTGCTTGTATTTTTGGTGTTATACGTAATTTTGTTGAAGTCCAATTTATTTATTTTGTTGTTGTTGCTTGTATTTTTGGTGTTATATTTAAGAAAGTATTGCCTAATCCAAGATCATGAAGATTTATCTCTATATTTTCTTCTAAGAATTTTACAATATTAGTATCTTTGACCAATTTTGAGTTAAGTTTTGTATATGGTGTAAGGTAGGGGTCCAACTTCATTCTTCAACTTCAACTTCATTTAGTTGTTCCAGCACCATTTGTTGAAAAGACGATTCTTTCTCCCATTGAATCCTTTTGGCACTCTTGTTAAAAATCAATTGACCATAAATATATGGATTTATTTTTAGATTCTCAATTCTATCCCATCGATCTATTGTCTATCCTATACAAGTACCACACTGTCTTGACTACTGTAGCTTTATAGTAAGTTTTGAAATTGAGATACTTCCACTTTCTACATCCACCTTTAAGCACACACAGCAAAGGCTGGGATGTGGCCTGAGGGGAAGGGCCTGACTAAGTGGGTTGAGGACAGGTGAGGAGAAGTAGGGCTGAGGGAAGCACAAAGGATCAGGATTCAGGTGACCTAGTCTTTAACCCTTGCCCTGCCATAGCCCTGTGTAACCTTCTGTAAGTCACTTGATACTCTCCAGCCTGTTTCCTATTCTGTAGAAAGAAGGCTCTGGGCTAGTTGATTTCTTCATGGTATTTTCAATTCTAATAGTCTGGAGGCCCGAGAGACTCAATTTCCATAGGCAAAGTCTATCACAGGACCCCCCAATTTTATAGCAAAGCATTCATTAGACTTTCCCTCACTTGGAACTTAGATATGAGACAGGAAATGAACAAGATGTTCTGGATTATCTCAAGGGATACCAAGGCTGTGTCTAAAGGACTCAGGAGCCAAGTGGAAGAGGCTTTTGCTGGCCAAAAGTGGGACACCCTGGACATCAACATGGATAATAAATGTGTTGGAGTGAAATACACTAAGTATATTTAAATTCATGAGTTCATAATGATGCTTTAAACACTCCAATTATTTGGAACTTCTGGATTTTGAGATCTCCTAGCAGAGAAACCCTGGGTTATCTCCTCCACTTGGCCTGGGTTTCACGGCTGCACCACTCTGCACTAGATCCCAATGTCCCTGGTTTCTGTTCCAGCACTTGGCTTCCGGATAGCTTCATTATTCTGTGTTAACCTATTTGCAGAAGGCACAGGAGAGCTCCAAAGTTATTGGTAGGGGTCTACAAAGCACTACTTGCTAACTGAATATATAAGGCCTCACTCCGATATGCACCATTGCTTCCCTTTGTTTCCAAGTCAGTAGCTTCTGTTAGATGAACAGTCATGCATTCTCCTCAGTGTGCAGATTCTGTGATCACGTGTTTTCTCAAATAGGGGGTCTTGGATTTGGGGTGGTTGAAAAGATGACTTTTTACTGAAGAAGTTTGGCCAATGGGGCGGAGGGGTGGGTGCTAGTCAAGACCTGGACCTCAGGCCCTGCTCCTGCACCTCCTCTCTGCCTTCTCCCTCTAGGCCTCAGCTTCTTTACGTATAAAAGCAAAACATTGAGGAATGTACTACTGATATATGCAACATGTGCATTGTGCTCAGTGAGAGAAGCCAAGACAAAAGGCCACATCCTGTAAGATTCCCTTCATGTGGCTTTCTGAAAAAGGCAGAACTATGGGGTCAGAAAAGAGATCAACAGCTGCCAGGAGGAGAGGAGTGGTAGGGGATTAACCATAAAGGGACATGAGGGAACTTTTTGGGGTGATAGAATTACTCTCTATCTTGATTTTTGGTAGGGGTTACATCACTGTATAAGTTTGTCAAAATTCGCAACACTATACACTCGTGTCAGTTAATGACGGGGATATGTTCTGAGAAACGTGCTGTTAGGGGATTTCGTCATTGTGTGAACATGGCAGAGTGTACTTACACCCTACTACACACTTAGGCTATATGGTACTAATCTTATGGGACTACCATGATAAATGTGGTCCATCATTGACAGAAATGTCATTATGCGGTGCATGACTGTATCTAAAAAGGGTGAATTTTACTGTATGTAAATTAGACCTCAATAAGTAAACAAAACATAAAACACACACACTCACTATTGGACCAGAAAGTCTCTAAGGTCCCTCTCAGTGATAATATCCAGTGATGCTCAACTGCGGGGATGCTCATGGGGCGGGGCACGGAAAGACATATCTGGGGCCTTGTCCCCTTTTTAAACTTTCCTTCCCTAATTCCTCCTTCTCCACAACTCAAAACAGTCTTTCTGTGGTGTAATGGGAGAAAGAGGAAAAATAGGCTTCATTTGCTTAGTTGGCCATTTTAGGAACAACGCCAGGCCCTCCGTGGAGGTACACGTGATCCATATGCATGCTGGACATTCTCAGAGGACAGGCCTTGCCCAGCCCCTCATCCCGGGTCTGAGGTCCGAGCCATTGACATGAAATGGAATATTCCGAACAGGAGCTGAGAATCCAAACCTCAGTGAAGCAGCCATGGAGGCCTGTTGGACAAATGGGAATCTAGGTGGAGAGCACAGACCTCTGCTTCCATTTTCCACCCAGGGTCTGAAGGAGGAGCCCCCGGCCTTCTGCTCTGCTATTTGCTGAGGTCTAATGTAGGATTATTGATTGATGCCGTCCAAGCGGCACACGGCGAGGGAAGCAGGCCCTAGCTGGGAGGAAGAGAGCAGGGGGCTTGTCACAGGCAGAGAGAGACTGCTACCTGCACAGGCAAACAGCTGGCAGCCTCCCTGGCGGGAAGGGTGGCACTCAGGGGCCGCCGCTGGGGAAAGCTGCCCACGGGAGTCTGCAAGCCTGCACCACAGCCCCTCCCTCAGCAGCAGCAGCAGCAGCAGCCAATGCCAGCACCCACATCGCGAGCACTTACTCTGTCCCAGGCACAGGCCAAGCCCTCTATATTCACAACAACCCTAAGATTTTGGAATGTTTATTCCTGTTTACTAATGAGGAAACTAGCATCAGACTGAGATGTGGGGCTCAGCCTCTCCATCAGGGGCTGGCTCTCTCCGTCAGGGGCTGAAATAAGCCAGGCCTGGCTGGGCTCGCTCCAAGGCTCTGAGGGGACCGAGCCTATGCTTTAAGGGAGCAGGAGCATAACCGAGAGCTGTGCTCCAGATGGAGCTCATGCCGAGCCCACCCCAAGCCCCTATAAAACAAGCCAGACCCCCACAGCCTCCCCGCGGCCAGGGAGGCCCGCCCCTCGGGGAGTGGGGTCAGGGACAGAGCCTGTAACCCTACTGTGGGTGCTGAAGGGCTGGATGCAGAGGGAGCCAAGCCATGGGCATTGGAAGTCCCAGTAAGGGGCGTCATGAGCTCATGCAGGTGCTTCTGCCCAGGAAGGCAGGTTGAGGGAAAACATGCCAGAACAGCTCTGCGGCCCAGCAGGGGACACACCTTTCAGAAGGCCTCCTGGATACTTCTCCAAGCCACAGAGTACGGAGGCTGCCACATCCCAGGAATAGTCCTAGGATTGGAGACACCCATCAGAGGCTCTGATGATCCCTAGGAGGCTGGGACCAATGAGCAATTGAAAGCTGGCACAAAGGGAAGGGACAGCCTCATGCCCTTTAGGCCAGAAGTCCCCAAAAGGGCGTGCAGAGAGAAGAAACACTCAGGGTGGCTCTCCGACATTCCTGGGTGGGCACAGCTCTTAGTGTTATAGCCGGCAGCCCCAAATCTCCACCTGCACCCTGGACCTGAAAGCCGATCCCTATTCTTGGGGGTCAGCAGGATTGTGCACATACAGAGTGACAGCTTGCTAAACAAAGATTCTGGAATAAGCCAGATGGCTCAGCTGGGCAGGAGGAGTTCCAGGTTCCCTGGAGATGGTGGCCATGATCAAAGAGGACAGGGAAACATGGCTCTTTTGTGGTGGGCCAGGACATCACAGTGGGGTACACCCGACACTTCAGGTGCTGTTGCAGGTGTGACCTTGGTCTTGACCTTGCGGGGCAGGAAGTCTTGCTTTGGGAGATGGCCCAGGGGTTGGGGAGACAAGTTGGTTCCCAAGCAAATGTGGCTGAAGACCCATTCCCCTGCCTCTGAGATCATTTCTACTTTGGGGAGCGAAATTTCTGCCACTGAAGCGAGCTGCTAGGTGCCCGCCTGGGGTTAATAGAAAGATTACAGTACTGTGGTTTCTTTTGACCTGTTCTCTTCTCCTCTTGTCAGCCTGACCTCCAGGATCTCAGAGTCCCACTGCTTGGGTGTTAGTGGGAGATGAGGTTGTCTGTCACTCAGGAAACTGAGACTCCTTGGAGGGAGCACCGTCTGTATGCAACAGACTTCGATCTTGGGACTTTATTTAAGAGTGCCAGAGTGGTGTCTGGCCACTGCTGATGATCGTCAGGGCCCTGGGTTTTGTGGTTGAGCACAGACAACGGGGCATAGAGACCACCCAGACAAGGAGACCCTGGCAGAGTCAGGGGCTTCAGCTTTCTGGTGACATGACTGTCCCAACATACCAGGATGAGTCACATACCCCAGAGCTTTCCTGAACTAGTCAGCATCCGGCTTGGGAATGAGGGGAAACAGGTTGTGTGTGTGTGTGTGTACATGCGTGTGGGCACGCACATTATAATGGAGCAGAGTGGGGAGTGGGGAGGGGTGGTAGATTTTTTCTCTAGCGGTAAATCCTGCCCACAAACCCCCAAACCAAGGAGCCACACAGAGTGAGCTGGATTGTAGTGGGTTCAAGTCATTTATTTTTAGACTGTACCAGCATGTTTGGTTCTGGGGTCCAATCCCCAAATTCCAGAAAAATAAACTAATGAGAACCACATGCACTACGAGAAGGCCATTCTGCTGTGTCCGTGATCATGCGGTGAGTGGGCATAGAATATAGACCAGGAGCCCTCGGCATGAAGCAGGGCCTCTCTCCCGGGACAGCTGACAGCAGCTGGCTCTGAGACCTCACTGGGACTGGGGAAAGGGCAAGGCTGGGTTATTTGGACCCTGTCCCTTTACAGCCCCCAGGTCCCTTATTGCTACATTTGCTACTTTGCTACTTTATGACCCCTGGGTGGTACCCAGGGGACGTCTTATCACTGGGTGGTACTAATGAGTAGGCTGCTGGCGTCTGCCGTTGCCATGGTTACACCAGCACAGATCTTTCTTCAGAAGGTCCAGTGGTGAGTTATCAGGGATTCATTTGGCCACTATTTGACTGTGCCACACATGGTCCTTGCTGTACACTCAACTCAATCAGCCCTTTTGGAGGCTGGTGGCATGTCATCTTTCTCCCCGCAGGGCTTTCCAGCTCCCGGACCTTGCTGGAACACCTCTCTCCTCCAGCACTTTCTGCAAGGCCCAAAGACCAACAGCCCTCAATCCTTTCCAGCGTCTGGGAAGACTTCCTGGTGGTGGCTTTTGAAGCCCATGCATTTGGAGCACAACAGGAAGGGTGTGTTTTAGGAAAAACGTCAACTGTCACAACCAGCCAAGGGGCCAGACGGGTGGCAGTCTCCTGGTTCAGTGTCCTGTCGGTGAGGTAGTTTGAACACACCAGCAATCCTGCCTGGGGAGAAGCCCCTGGAGCATATCCCCCTGTGTTCACTGGTCCAAGAAACAACTCAGAGACATGAGAGGTTCCTCCTGGGCGCTGGCCTGGCCTGACCCTTGGGCAGTCGTGGGGCTGGAGCATGGCCCAGTTGACTGCACTGGCGGGCCAGGCCCTGCTCTGTCCCTGTGGTGCAGCAAGACCTTCCCAGGGGAACAAAGCATCACTTTCTGGAAGGGCAGAGCCCTCTTGCAGCCCAGAGAGTTCCTGCTGCTCTGGTCAGGCCCTCGGGCTGCTCCTGGGCATTTACGTGAGCCAATCTACAAGTTCTCCTCGTCCGTGTAGGCAGAGGCCCGGTGCCTGTGTGTCTGGCCTGATGGGTGGATGGTCACATCTAAGGCCATCCTGATGCTTTGACTGTGGGGCTGCCAACATGATATTTGCCCTGTGAGCCCTCATTGGGAAGAGCCCCAGGCCCAGAGACCACGCCTAGTCAGGGAGCTGAGGCAGGACATGGTGAAAGAGGAAAGTCTGTTTTGCTACAGAACTGCCTTCAAAAGCCTGATCTGGCCTGGATTTATGGCTGCGTGGACCAGGCCAGTGGAGAACTGGTCAAGACCAAGTGTACTTGCCTTCTAAGGTCTGCATGGTAGACTGACCTTGGGCTGAGCAGCCACGTCCCACGCCCCATAGCTAGGCGTGATCTACTGGGAAGCAGGTGCTGGTGGTCGCAGGACCGAGCATGCCTTGGTTGGGAGGTGGGATGGGGGTTATTGCTCTGGGTTTGAGTCCTTCTGAAGCGCCTTTTCCTCTGTTGAGCCTGCTGGATGTCCCCAGAGGAGTCTGGAAGGCTTCAGCCTCCTCCATCTCAGGGCTACAGTCCACCTGGCTCAGTCCCCTCTGGGGACTTCCAGGGTGGGCCAAGCCTCAGGCTAGCATCGCTCAGGAGTAGCAGCCAGAAGGGCACGGAAGTTACGGCCAGTGAAGCCAACCCTGCCCTGGCTGCAGCCATGGGGAAGGGCAAGGGACAGCCAGGCCCTTGCCCTGGATAACTGAGGGCACAGAGGTGCCCACTGTTCTGGAACTTCCTTTGTCCACATACCCTGCACCTCCATGTCAGCCCAGCCTGGGGACACTTGGCAGGGAGGAGGTTCCTTTGGGCAACGCTGGGTGCAGAGGAACTTGAACTGTGATTTTGTTCTGAAACATGAGGTCTGTGTGAAAAGCAAGAGGATAAAAAAGGGTGGAAGGAGGAGAAGAGGGGTCAAAAGACCCCAGGACATGGGATCAGGCTTCGTCTCAGTCCTTTACTCATTGAGTAGTTACCGAGTGTCTACAAGTGCCAGGCTCTGTGCTGAGGTCGCGTGGAACAAGGGTATGGGAGTGTCCCATGAGACTCTTTGAAGACACTCTGAGGACTCAGCATACACCATCTAATTTCCACTGTGCCTCGAAGAGAGAGCAACTACTGCCAAAGGGGGAAACTGAGGCATAATGGTCAAGAACCCATGATCAAGACTCCGAATGCCCCTGGGGCCCCGCTAAGGGATGGAAGGCTGGGGTCCTGGGGATAGGGCCCTGCGGAATCAGACATCCACGGGGCCCAAAGGGGAGCACCCAGGAGGCAGGGTCTGCGAACAAGCCTGTGAGCCTTTGGTCAGCAGCTGGGGAGTCTGCCTATGTGAGGAAAGACGGACCAGTGATGCTCTTTGCTTCTTTGTTTGCTGTTTATACAGTCCCAAGGGAGATTTCTCACCTAGGGCCAAAAATAGCTCAAAGGAGGATAGTAATAGCAGGTGGGGGAGCGGGTGTCAATTCAAAACCATGTCTCTGAATTCATTCTGTCCGAGGGCTCATGGGAGTTGCATGACGACAATGACAATGATGAGTACTAGCTACCGTTTGCTAAGCACCTACTGTGCATCAGGCACCTGACTTGGAGCTTTGCGTACAGGGTCTCACAGCCAAGTTGGCAGACGGTCTTTTTGACACACGCATGAAGGGAATACAAGTGGGTCTTTTGCAGGTTTTTGCAGGTTTTCCTTTGTGTCTGCTTTTTCCCTTGATGACCGGCATGGGTTAGTGGGCTGCCTTAGCTGGGCTGTCACAGAACCACTTGGCCCTGGCCTAGTCCCTCTGTAGCAGATTCTGCTCCAGCTTCAGACCCAACAGAGACCTGGCCTGGCAGGGTCCTGGCCCAGCCCACAGGACTGCCCACCTTGTGACCCAGCCGCTTCCAGCTGGGAGCCCTCCCAGCTTCCACCTGGGGCTGCCAGAGGGAAGGATCCCAATGGCCCCTGAGTTCATGGCCATGTTTATTTTGAGGAAAACATGAGGGAACAAACCAAGGAGCAAGGGGCAAAACCAGAATAAATTACGAAGTAATAAATTTTTAAAAAGATGGTCAGGACCTTCACGTCTGGTAAACCACAAGCTCTTTCATCTACACCGGTGCTTCCTCTGGCGTTGGACCCTTGAGACATTTGACAGGACCAGAGGGCAGCCACGGGGCCTGTGGAGACCTCTTGGAAAGCTGGCCTCCAAGGGGGTTGAAAGAACTTGAGGTGAAGCCATCCACGAGGTTGCTCGGCGCTGAGGACATGATTGGGACACGTTGTGAGGGTGGTGCTTGCTCTTGGCCCCTTACACCCCGGTGGCCAGAGAGATGGGGGGAAGCGGGAGGCAGGGGCGACACAGTGGCTGTAACTATGGTGGGTGTGGTGGTGCACCGGGGGATGGTGGGGAGGTGGCGCATAATACTGGATGTGCTCAGGGCTGGCTGGTCCCTCTTGCGTCTGCCAGAAGGCGTGATCCCCCAGGCCGCCGGAGGAGTGATGCTAATAAGAATATAATCTTAGGTGACAGTCACAACAGGAGCCCCACGAGGTGTTCTCCCCTGAATGAGTTAGGGATAAGGACCTCTTAGAGAACGGGGTGTCAGCGTACGACTGTACAAGGAAGAGAGGGCTGTAAATGGGGGCCCCCGCCGGGCGGCCCCAGGCTCTGTAGATGCTTTCCTTCCGGTCTCCCTGTTCACCCCCAAGTCTCCCCACCGTTGCCCTCCATCGCCCTCACTCTTTCTCCTTCACAGTGACCAAATCTCCCCGTAAGGAGACTCTGTCCGTGGATGTGGAGCGCCGCCGCCTGCCCGCGTGGTCCTCGTCCCCGGGCCCCGCGGTGGGAACTGTCAGGAGGACTGCATCAGGCCGGTGAGGCGCTTGCCCGCCAGAGACTTTCCCTGCAGAGACAGGCGACGGAGAGGCACGCACAGGCATGCACGCACACACAGAGGGACAGAGACAGAGAGCCAGACAGGCGGGTTAATTGTTGTAGGAGCCGTGGAGGCCAAACGTCTTAGCTACCCGACCCCTTTAATCGCTGGCTTTAGGAGCCTTAACCTCAGGCAGTTGGAACAACCAGGACTCTGGGGCAGGTTAGGGAGTGAGGGAGTTGCTGGTATTCTTTTTGGGGTGTGGGAATTTTACTTACCCAAAACCAAGCACTTCAACCCTTACTTAGAGCATCTCTTAATGCCTGTGGGCCGGCCCTGAACTTAATGTTATTCAAGTGAGGAAGGAAAAGGTGGATTGGGGACCAGCAAGATCAGGGAGGGAGGGTTGACCCAAATAGATGATGGCTAAGGATCTGGGTGGTTAGGAACTAATGAATTAACTATTCTTAAGAATGCAGAAGACCTAGGAATCCTGTTTGAAATGCAGGATGAGTTCTCCCTGGAAGAGACGCACAGACTTCGGGTCCTCCGGATGACTGCTTCTGGAACTGAGAGTACAGGGCATCCCCTGAGCCTGGGCTGATGAGCGCTGTAGGGCCCAGAGAAGTGCACTCCTGCATCTCCTATGTTCCTGGCTCCCCATCTTCGGTACCCAGGGGCTGAGTATGATGACTCCACATCAGGAAGTCTACACACCCTTCCTTAAAACCCATATGGCAGTTCTTCTCAAAAATGAACAAAATAAACTGGATGGTGAGGCCTGGTGCATGAGGGATAGGGGTCCTAAGAGTAGCCAATTGTTCATGTGCCCAGCAGGAGGTGGCTGAGGAGCCTCTGATGCGGGACTGGGCACCAAGAGGAGGGATGAGAAGGATAAGCAAGGTTCAGGGGCTCAGCCTATTTCCCTTGATGTCGTCTGCACCCAGTCCCTGCTCACTCTTTTCAGAAATCTATAGCCTTCAGAATCCTCGGATAGGGGTCTAGAGGAGAGTGTGGCTGGCCCCAAGCAGATTGATCACTGTGTCTGAGAAAACACCCAAAACCCATCCTATTATTGACAGCGGGTCAGTGACACCATCGGCGTCCGCGAAGGGCAGCACATGATTGCTCGTCAGCCTGGGCTACGCTGTTTCGTAGTGTGAGATTGCAAGGGCCAGCAATTCCTCGTGGTCATTTCCAAGTGGGGTGCGAGGGCTCATCTTGTTTACTGGGCTTGGCTGCATGGAAGCTGGATGTAATTAAAAAAAATTGATCAGGTTTGTGAAGCCCGGTAGGGTACTCAATAAACCTGCTGATTGATGAATTGATGGATAATGGGTAAATCTAATAAATGAACAACATGGGCTGTGAGTTTGCTGGATGCAGGACAGTGTGTCATCTGACTTAGCTCTCCATGGAGGGACATGCAGCTTGACTTTGAGAATTCTGATGACATGGATGGGAGCTTGTCCAGGAAGGGAATTGCCCTCGGGGGCTATTGGAAAGTCTGCGCCCACCTTCTCTTGCTCTTTTTCCCCCTTTCTTTCACTCCACTTCTTCACTAGTGAGACAAAACTTTTCATTTTTTTCTCCCCTATCTTAAACACACACACACAACCTCCCCATCAGTAATCTTATCTGAATCTTCAAATACACTAAACTTAGCCTGCAGCAGGATACATTTATACTGGGCTAAACATTCTTTAATCAGATTTTTTTTTTTTTAATCCTAGAGGGTTGCAGCGCCAGTCTTTGCAAATCACTAAAAGCAGGATGGTACTCTGTGTAGAGCGAGTTAGGTACAACAGCTTGTAGACGGCAGAGGCCGACCTTCAAGGACTCCCTCCAGCCCTGGATTCTAAGGCACACACACTGCTGTTCCTCTCCTTGACTGCCCTTCCTCAGATGGAGCTCGAGGCATTTGTCATCCAGTTGGTTCACCTGGGAATGTGTCTTCTCGATGTAGGCCTGAGGCAGGAAGCATGGGGGTGTGTGTGAGGTCCTCTCCGGGGAGATGTGGAGCTGATGAATCCAGGGCCTCCTGGTCAGAGAGCTCTAACAAACCTCCCCACTCCCCTTACCCCGTCCATCCCCGCTCCTATGAAAGGCACCCAGGAATCATGCTTTCCTCTTGGTGCTGCTTATTGCTGTGGCAACCACACACCAAATACAGGCTCCTCCCCACTCCTTCCATCCCTCCTCCACCAGGGCCACAAATTACACATAGTAAACTCAAATATATATGTTCCAGGTCTGCCATACACGGCATTTAGGGCTCTGATTTAGCTAGCGACAAGAAAAAAAAAAGAAATCACTAAAGCTTCTGAATAACAGTCTGTGGCCAGTGAGTATGTTAAAAACCCAGAGACAAAGAAGGCGAGGTTCGCCAGGCATCCAAACCCTCATTACAGCTTCTTCCTCAGTAATGAAGTCATGTTGGCTGGAGAGGGGGCTGTGGGACGACGGAGGTTGGAGATTCTATTTCTGGATGATTGTGTGTCTATTTGTTTTAGGTGAATTTGGCCCTGAGGCCCCTGGCCCCCATCCCTCCCAGTTCTATAGAGTGGGCTGGGCTGAGCTTGGAGGGGCTAATTAATCTCTTCCTGCCTAAGTCCTGAGCTCAGCCTCACAGCTCTGACTCCAACGACCTGTGGCCAGCCCATCAATCCTGCCCCGCCCCTTCCCCCAGCTGCTTCCATTTCTTAGGGCTTCAGGGGTGGGGGCAGGGTGGTCGGGTGGTGGAAGGGGTGCAGCTGATCAGCCCAGAGAACAGACCCTGAGATTGTTCCCAACCTCTCAGCAATCCAGGTGGCGCTCCTTGGCATTTTTGTCTCCCTCTCCCCACTCCTGTGCTCAAGCATTTACCAAATGTCAGTTCTGTTGCTAAGGGGGTTCGTGAGAGTTTGGGTCGTCTTGGGAGGCAGCTCAGCCCACCTGCCATCTGTCCTACGCAGTGACCTCCTGGGTCGAGGAAGGATAGGCTCAGACCGGAAGGTGGTTACTCATGCAGGATGCAGGCATGGCTAGATGCCTGGCCTCGGGCTTTGGGGAAGAAATCCTGCAATCACACTGGCTCAGCAGCTGCCTCCCTTCTGAAGAGCTGAGGCTCCTGTAGTTTTCAGGGATCAAAGTGAAATCTGACAGCAGAGGCTACCTGTGTTCAGAGGTGAGCTGCCACAAAGCCTACGCTGCTAGGGGCTTGCTGGGAGCTCCTGAGCTTCCTGCTCTGCCCAGAGAGAGGAGAGCTCCCACCTGTACCCTCTAGGGCTCCTGCCTCCTCTTCACCCCCATCCCTGCCTCCGTCTTAGATGATTCTGAAGGAAACAAGAAGGAGAGTGGTAATTCTGCCTCTGCCTGGCACCTTGCATAGTTACAGGGGAAGTGGTTTTTTTCAGTGCGTGAATATGTGATGTTCCTCAGTGCCGGTCAGTTGGGAACGGATCATGGTGCCAGAAAACTGCAGCCAACTCAGCCTGAGGCCTTGGCGGAACTGAGCAAGGCAGCTGAAGGTGGTTGAAAATGCTATTAGCAGGCAGCCTTTGTCCAAGTGAAAAAATATAGTGATTAGAACTGAGCTGCAGAAGGTCCATTCCAGAGACACCCGAGCTTTGCATACAGACAAAGTGCTTTTCACCTTCGAGACATTTGGCAAAGTCTAATCCAGTAGAATTTGGGATCCTTCAATTTCATGGACCAGGGGCTTAGTGCTGGGTTCACGAACAACCACACATTCAATACCCACCCTCTACCCTGACTGATCATTTCGGCTCTGTGGCCATCTTGATGGCTAGAAGCCTGGAAGAAGGTGGTCATGAAATCTTTTGTTTCTAAAAGGAAACACACAAAAGGAATAGCTTCCTTTTGTGCAGAGCTTTAAGAAAAATCAACATGCTGTTTGACATGCTGTGGCTCTGTGCATCGCGCTTCCGGATATTAATCAACAAAGCATGCACGATCCGGGTTATGAAGAGCTTTCCCCACCTACTTACCTGGGAGGCTGATGCTAAACACTTTGGCTGGGAGAAGGGCTGTGGTTCAGAGAGTAGCCCTGGGGGTCAGATGGCGTATTGGGGGCAGTGGAGCCGCGCTGTAGGGGCTCAGGCAGGACCCTTTCAATGCTAAGGGAGTAAAGACATCTGAGCTGCTGATGAGATTTTCTTGCGATTTGCCCAGATGACCTCAGACCAAAGTTACAGATCTCAAGTCCAGCAAGTCTAAATTTGTGCTACCATGGGGATAGAAATCACAGTTCCCTCTGGGGGAGAGGGGTGGAACGGACTGGAAAGGGGTATGGGAGAAATTTCTAGAGTGATGGTTGTAGGTTACACTGATGCATACATTTGTCAAATTCATTGAACCATACATTTCAGATCTGTTCATTTTGCCAGATGTAATTATACCTCAAAAGAAAAAAAAGATTAGAAAAAATATCCCAGCTATTACCTCTCTGCTTTGAAATTTCCCATCCCTTATTCTTTTTCAGTTGCTGTCCCAGCAACTTTGCCTTTTGGCTAAATTCAATGCTTCTCTCTCCAGTAGAGGAGAAACCCAGATTCCTCTGCTAGGGGAACTAAAACTTGCTATAGAACTAATTGGGAGCACTATTTCTAGTCTGCATTGATCCAAACCGATCACCTTGTTGTGACACACAGGCATTTTTCATCCTTGCTAATGAAAAATGGTGTTCTGCTGAACAGGGCTCACCAAATGACCTTGCCGGCAAGGAGTGGGAGGCCCCAGAGATGAGCTGTCCTCGCAAGGAGACTGAAGGTCACCTGTGAGTAGCTGATGCTCAAGTTCATAAATGATGAGCATGTGTGAAATCACAGGCCTGGGGGAGACTTGCTGACGAAAGCAGTCAGGAGTCTGACTAAGATCCAAGTGGAAATGTGAGTGTCCTGGCTTGAGTTCGACAGGAGGCGGAGAAGTCAAAGATCTGCCTAACTTTATCAGGTGACTTCCCTGGAGGTTGGTGCCCCTGGTGATCCTTCTCCACTGAACAAAGCATAAGGAATGATTTCAAAAGGGAGTATAAGGAATTCTGTGGCATCTACTTTCTCAATGACGTTTAAAATTGGGAAAAGAGTGCCATTTGCTTTGGATAGTTTAGGGGTCTGAGAAACTCTGGCAAGGGATGGTGGGAAAATCCATCCTTAACATAGAATAGTTTCAACAAGCTTTTCAACTCCCCCTCTCTCATTACCCTCTGCTCAATTTGGTGAGGGAAGGTGGAGCAGAGGAAATGGGAAAACCAGGTGATGGGACTAACCCGAGATTACGCACTGCTGATCCACAGCAGAGTTAGGCCAGAGAAGCATGGAGAGACGGCCTCTCCTCCTGACTCCTCCCCTCCTGACTCTTCCGTAGTGGGTTGGGGGGTGGGGCGGGGGGACAGCCCTGAGGCAAGATCCATTCCTGGGGTCTATATTACTCCCGGGTCCTTGCCAAGCTTTCTGATCTCTCTCAGGAGCTGAAGGGCATTTTATTTGGTTTTAAAATATTCTCTTTATTTGGCTTTTTAAAATAAGATACCACAAACATAAAATAACAGCCAAATAAAAAAGTCACGAGAGAGGTGAAAATTGAATTAATAAAAAAAAAGTTCACTGGCTGAAGAATTAATATACATTCATGCACATTTAAACCTGTTAAAAAAATAAGGAATATGATCAAAAGGAAAATAATGGATTCTTTTGAAACAGCCCACCATCTTATGTATGGTGCTATAAATAAGCAGGTTTGCCATGTTAACGGTGGGTCAATGGAATCTATCAGCAGTCATATCTTTTGAAAGCAATTCCCACAAAATGTCCCTGGGACCATTAGCAGGTTCAGACACCTTACTCTAGCCTGTAGTGGCAACTACCAGTGCTTTTTTTGTTTTTAATTTTCATTTGGAAAAGGTAAGTTGCCAGCCCTCCTATCTGAACTACGTATAAAGAACTGACCTACCCCCTGACCTCCCATGGACTCTCTTTGAATTTCTTATTCCTGCCCAATGGGGGGACATCAATATCTCATGTACTCCCCTTCTCAGGTGCCCTCCTCTTCAAATCGCCCAGACCTTGATGGTGCCAGGGTGGGAATGTTCCCATTACCCGGGACACAGGTTAGCTACCAGGACAATTACCAATAGGCATCCGTTATTGACCATTGAGCAGCTATGGTGTGTCAAGCACAAGAGGCATTCTATAGACACTTCTGCTAATGTCTACACCCTTGTTGTCAGTTAAGTATTACCTTAACCCCCACTGGACAGACGAAGAAACAGGCTCAAATAGAGCTTGAGCCACTTGCCTGAGAGCACACAGCTGGTCGGTGGCAGAGCCGAGTGGGTTGGCCTTTGTGACCCACACACCTTCTACTTTGTGCATGGCTGTCAAAGAGGGAGGCAGGTGGAGCGCTCAGGGGCTGGACACCTCCATGCCCGCCCACACGAGGCGACCTCTCAGGGTGGTGTGGGGTGATTTTCTCAACGTCACTGAGAGAGAAGCTTCAGCTCTTGGGCAAGCTGAGACCATCTCGGGCATTTCTGCTCAGCCTGAGGTGCGTCCCTTCATCACATTTGGGAATCCTGAGAGAGGGAGGTGCCACCTTCTGCCCAGCAGGCCTGGCAAAGCGAGCCTTTGGCTACTGTTCTGGGCTGGGGTGCAGGTCATGTGAATTTAAAGCAGTGGCTGCTGGACAGGTCAGGTGAAGCCACCACTTCTGTTTGTAGCCCTGTGTTATTGGGGCTGATGCCTCTGGGATCTCCATAGCAGCTGTCCCAGGGAGGAGAGAAGCAGGTGTGATGTTTACCTTTCTAAGGTGATGCAGAGCTGCCTAAGAGCTGCCTCACTCCAATTAGAACCAAGTGTCTAAATCGCGGTGTCCTGGCTGGGGAAGTCCTCCCTGGGTGGGACTCCTGGCACCCCTTGCCACCCACTGTGCTCATCACTTACAGGCTCTTTGCAAAGGCCAACCTGTGCCTGTTAGTTTGGGTGGGTGGTGGAAGACCATCCTCCATGGTCCTCTAGCTGTGCAGGGACAAATCTAGAACCAGAAAGACATGCTGGGAATGACGAGGGCTCAGCAGCTGTGCCCTACACTGGTGGCAGGATGCCTGGCACAGACTCCCCAGCCTCTCTTCCATGTTGTGCATTCCTACTTTCCCTGCACTCTTTATCCACACATGGGGAAATGTTCCCTTTTTTATTGCTGAATCTCTTGTCTCTCCTTCCTCTACTTCCAACAGAACACCCCTGTTGCTCTTTCTACACTCGGCCTATAGGAAGTTCTGGTGGACGCAGGAGTAGAGTGGAGGCCAGCATTCCGCCACAAGGTCCCTCTGTAGCATGACTTCCTGTGGCCCAGGCAATGCCAGCCTCTTTCTCTCCTCCTCTCCTTCCTCCTCCTCCCCAAAGGCACTTCAGCATCTCAGCTCTAGTTCACTCCAAATTAGGTAAAGTTCAAAAGACTCAAGGAAACAGAGATATGGCTGTGTTGCTATTGGAACAACTTGATGCCACTTTTTTCTAACTGGGAAGTTCAGGTGACCTTTGATGATGGTTACAGGGGAGAGTGCCACTGGAGTCTAGAAACACAAAATTGTGGACCAGACAGCAGGATGAATCGCTTGCTTGGCAGTGTGTGATTCCCCCGACGACCCAGGAAGACCCTAATTTCACCTTCCTAAGGGCATTTCTCATCTCCTACAAACACATTCACCCCAACCACGCCCATTGATTGGGGTCCCTGGTTAAGCCAGCTGCCAAGGCAGAGCCTAGAAGGCACCGCCCCCACTGACCCAAAGCATAATCTTTCTATGAATGTCTACGTCTATTTGGAAGCATTTGCAAAGAGGGCCAGCACACTTCTTTTTCATGCCTACCACCAGGAAAGCAGTTCAACAGGCATTTATCAGACATGTATTTCTAACCTGAAAAAGTGCAGTAGGGGACAGGTCAAGCAGCATTTTCAAGAGATCTCTGGACAGAAACTTGGGTCAATGGAATTCCTAGGCACTGAGAACCTCCTTACTCCCCTATAGACCCTGTCACATGTTGCTGCAATGCTTTCAGTCCTACAGGATAGCAGATGGGTGGTCCCCCAGCCCTCTTCTCCCCCGGTGCTCTAGTATGTAGAAATATGAGATTTCCAAGTGTCCTACAGGACTGGGCCCTGGGCCACACAGGAAGGGTTGTGGAAGCTGTAACCGAGAGATGGAGCCTAAGGATGCTGCTGTTGGATTTAAAAGCATCTTCAAAGGTAGCAGGCTTTTTTGTCTTGTTCTGCTAGGGGTCCAAGAGAAGTGAGTTACAGGATCAACACCAAAAGACAATATTTGCACATTGCCTCTGGGACAAGGCACTCATCTCAGCATCATTTCCAGACCCCTCAGTTGCTTGTTTCTTAGGAAGGAAAAACTATGAGTGCAAAAATGAGCACACCAAAAACTGGGCGCCATTGGCTGTCCATGGAACCAGAGTGTGAGAACAGGAGTGGTGGGTGGAGATGAGGCCATGGACAAACGGATCATCTCTTCTGGATTTGGGAGCACCTTCTGTGCAGAAGGCTCCCAAAGAAGGTTAGAGAGTGCGGACGCCGGGGTCACTCACCCACTGCTGGAAGGAAGCCACCTCGCGGGTGAAACGCAGCGGCCATTCTGACTCTGCGCCAGCAGCACTAGGCAATTGTGTTTTTAGGAAGGGAAGTGAAGAATAACTTATCCAGCTGAAACCATGAAGACCTGTGGCTTAAGGGAGCCCCTGCCCAGACACGCATACAGCTGCAGCAGGCATGCAGTCCATGCACAGGCACATGCAGGTCTGCAGCGTATGTTACACACGTCCATACACTGAACACAGAGGTGTCTATCAGGCAGGCAGTACATGCACCTGTCTATACAGCTGTGCACACGTTCATGTGCATGTTTACACTGCAGGCACTTCCATAAGCATCTCATGCAAGGTGCATAAGCAACCACGTGACGGGTTGTAGAGCTTTCTATCAGGCTTCTGAGATGACAATCTTTGACAAACACTGCAAACTTAAAGCATTTACCTTAAGATACATATATAAAACCCGGACTCTCCCAGGAAAAAGCCGTTCATGTCAATGGAAATGGCCTCTCTGCTTCTGTTTCTGTCAATACTACAAGCAGTAGGAGCGTGCACCACGGGGGGCTGGTTTATGGGGGATTTCAAAGCATCCCCTGCCATTTGCTTCTGACTCTTCTGACAACCCCACTCTGTAGTATGTGGTTAAAAAGTACAAGCCTTTGTTTATCTGGCAGATGGAGCAACCAGGCTTGGTGAGGTTGTGTTGCTCAGGGTGGCTCCAGCCAGGCAGACAGCTGAGAGGTGAGGGTTTCTGGGAACGAGGCTTCTGCCGTGCAGAGCGCTACGTCTGGAGGACTGGATTTCATGCTCTTATCAGGGGGAGAACCATTCCTGATCTGTGTCCGGAAGCAGGAGGCGTCTCAGGGTCCTGTGCCTCAGTAGGGGGGCAAATGCCAGATCCTGACAACCTACACCACATTTTTCCGGTGGCTCTCTCCACCTCCCAGCACCACACAGCGAGAAGCCCCACAGTTCTCACAGCATCCCAGAAAGCACTTAGGGGCCCAAGAAATGGATTACAGGACAGAAGCTGGCCTGCTGAGCACCATGGTCCCTCCATTCCCAGGGAAAGCAGAGAAACTGGCTCTCAGAGTCAACTTTAAAAATAAGCCAATAACAATAGCTACCATTTATTGAGTAATTCCATAAGCTGGTCACTATACTAAACAAATGTGCTTTGCACACATTGTCACAAAGAGATACCCACATACTCATCCTCAACTGCAAAATAAATATGATACCTACCTCGCAGAATATTGTTGGAAATTAAGTAAGGTAATAAGAGCTAAGCATGGGCTGCAAATATCATAATAATGAAAATAATAATACGAAGAGCTACACTTGCACACGTACACTATAAACACTGAGCTGAGCAGCTTAGGTATTTTTTTCTCACTTAATCATTTACTCTTAGCTCCTTTTTACAGATGAGGAAACTGAGGCTTAGAGGGGCTGCCCAAGTCACACAGCTAAGGGGCAGAGCTGGAGCAGAAGCAAAGTCCCTCTCAGGCCAAGCTCAGCATCACTTGGACGCCCACGGCGTAACACTGTGAGCCCCACGAAACAGCAGCTACGGCTGTTATCCCCTCCTTTAGTGCCAACATCCACCCCGTGCATCAGGCTTCATTAGACCCATCAGGCAAGTGAGCGACTTGCCAGGGTCTAATACCAATATTAGGCGGAGAAACAGGATTCAGCCGAGGTTGCCCATCTCTAACTTAGCCCACTTTTCTACATTCTGGTGGGCACTAATGGGACATTGTTCTCAAGAGGCAAAGACAGCAGACCATCTTGAGTAGGGGAGGAGAAGGCAAGTGAGGGAAACGTCACTGCCAGGTTTTTGACAACATTTAACTCTGGGTGGTTGGTGTTGTTCAGTCACACCCCAGAGAGCTGGCTATGACAGGGTAAGGAGCAGTCTGGATGACTCAAGGTGGGCAGCCATCAAGGGCCAATTGGGGACCTCTCAAAACACACTCCTGCTGGAGCAAGATGCACCTCGCTGTGCAGTCATCCATGTAGTCCTGGGGAGTAGGGAAAGGGAGGGGACTTGACACCAAATCTGAGTGAAGCTGCTGCAGGGCAGATCGAGAACTCTGGTGGCCACCAGCTCACCCACACCCTGTCCTGGTGATCCCTCTCATAATGTCCCACAGATCTAGAAACAATTCAGGAAAGCTATGATTGAGGGTTAGCAAATCCTGTGCTCTGGGGCTGTGTCATTACCAAGGAAACCTCCATCAAGCATATGACCACTGGAGAGGGATCATTCACAAATGCTAATGGTTGACCACTTTGTATATTTAGAGTATGGATCCCCTGGAACCTTCCAGTATCATCCAGGACGGGGAACTCATCAGAATTTCCTCACTGCTTTTGCTTCAGATTACAAGGTTGGGTTGAGTTTTGCATCGGTTGCTCCATCTCCATCTTCCAATTTAATCTGCTACGATGGAAAAGGCCAGGCCCTCCATCCTTGCTTGACAGCCTGTCTTTTCCCATTAAGCATGGGGGTTCAGATGCACCATGCTCTTATTGCAAATGAGAAAGTCCAGGGGCAGGGTGTAAAACGGTTCTCCAACCCTGTGAAAAAGTATGGGTGCCCTCCGCACTCCTGGACCTCTCTCTCCCCTACCACTTACATCCCGGTGCCAGTCGTGCCCAGCAGAGTTTTAAAGGACTGTGAGCGAACACGGCAATAATCAACTCTGACTGGGTTTTCTTTCGCTTTAAAAAATGTCTTATTAAAACTTTGCTGACTTTACCGGGACCGCCATGTTTAATGAGAGGCCTCAAAGAATCTGAAAGCAAAAGATGAAGAGAGGAAAAGAGCCATAAGCTGTAATCACCATAATTATACAATCCCATGATGAGTTGAAAGCAGCCCTGGCGAGGCCCGAGAGAGGAGGGAGTGTCATTTGCAATCCGGTCTGTCCTCAGGACAGCTGGCAAGAATGTGACACAAGAACCCTTAGGTTTCCAAGTTGGGTTGAGTTGAAGATGAGTCCTTGAGGCAGGGCCCAGAAGGAGGGGGCTCAGGGAGGGCAGTGTCTCCTCTGTCTAAGGCCTCTGGGGGCATGTTCTTCTCCTGGCCAGGCTGAGATGTTTTTGGTGCCAGCTTGCCCACCTGGAATCTGCAACTGGCACTGGGTAGAGGCAATTGGCTTTATCATCTTTTCTGCTTTCGACAAAACACCCTTTCTGGATGGGAACTGTGACAGGCCAAGCTTTCTCCAGTGCAGAGCCAGGGTGCCCCGCGCACATGCCCGCTCTGGCTGTGCTCAGCCTCACTGTGCCAACGGGCGCCTGTGTCCTCTGCTCGCTGACCTCCTTTCAGGCATTCAAGAGAGAGAGTCCTGTTGCCCAGAGCTCAGCTGCAGCAGCAGCAATTGGCTTAAAAAAAAAAAACCCAAAACAACAGGCAAGGATGACATGTGGAGGGCAGTCATTCCACTCCTTGACAGTTTCCCTTGCTTTGTGCCATCATCTGGCTTTTTCTCCCTCACGGCAGAGTCTAATCAGTCTCCTGGATCCCTCACCTCCAATCTCAGCAAACTCCCTCCATACGATCCATTCTCCTTTTCCACAGCGTATTTATAAACCACAGAATAAAATGCAGCGGGATCCATTTAACAAATATTTAATGCATCATAAGATTCCAGTTGGAGGAGGTGATGGAATCCAATGCAGAAACCTTCTTGACAATATCCTTGGCCATTCAGCTTCTGAATGTTTCCAGGGAGCTCACTGCTTCTTGAGGTGACATATTCCATCGTTGGGAAGTTGCTACTTTAGAATATTCTTCAGTAGAGTGACTCCCCATATCCTCTACCCATCTGTGCTAGCTTTGCCTAGAGCTATCCAGAAAAGTCCACTCACTCTGGAAGACAAACATAAATATATCCCACTATGCTTATCAAGTCTCCTTATGGCTGGACATCTTTATCCACTGCAGTCTCAGCAGACATGGCTTCCAGGGTCCCCAGTTATTCTCTTCTGAGTTTTTTCTAGTTTGTGAAAGTTCCTAATAAAATGTGGGGGCTTAGAACCAAGACTCAACACAGAAAGCAGAAGCACACTTCTCTCTCTTCGGGCATGCCACTTTTGTCATTGAAGCCTAAAGTTGCTTTTTTTTATTTTTCAAAGAAAGCAGTTGCATCCTGCTTTAACTTAGATTAAACTCGCAGTCAATGACAATCCCCCAATTTTTTTACCTGAATTAAAGTGAAGGCTACAAATGTCATCCTGTATTTGTCAGACTGAATTGTTTTTAAGATAAATTTTATCTGGTTAAATTTTATCTAGTTGTTTTTGACCCATCATCCCACCTGAAGGAGAGCCTTTTCAAATATAATTCCATCATCTACCAAATGAGCAATACCTTCCAGGCTGGGATCTTTGAGTCTGATCTTCTCAGCTCCCCTGCAGTGTCCCACTTAGCATTCTGCTTCATTGTGACGTTTTACAGATTGTTCCCACTTATGCATTTGTATCCTGCCCTCCTTCCAGAATGCCATGCTTCCCAAACTCGATATGAACAAAGACACTCATGTGCTGCTTAAAAAAAGGGAAGACTCCCGACTTGTTCTCACCAGGAGCTCATTCTGGGGGGAACGCCATGGCGGTCTCACTTCTCAGCCTTCCAAGTCCTGAGACCTCCAGCTCTCTGACTTCTAACTCTTCAGTCTGGACACAGGCAGAGTTGGGTCTCTCCCTGGCCTCGACATTGACAGCTTTGTCCCTACCTGAGTTCCTGCTTATTCCAAAGCCTAACGCCTGGAGGTTTCTCTCTCCTGCACCCTCTGTGGTGCCACTGCTCGCCCTGGCAGGACCGAGTCGGTCCTCTCCAGAAATGGGCGGCCTGTCCCCTGAGAGGTCCGCCCTTCCCGCTGTTCATCCGCGGAGGGCCCTGCAGTCACCGTCACCCTCGGCCGGCTCACTGGACAGATGAAAGCCCACAGCCATTCCCCTGTGGCTGCCTGGAGACAGGCGCCAGAAGTCTGACTGTACAAGTGACAAGGAACAGGCTGAAATCCCACAACCCCATCAGCCACTTCTAAAGTGAGAGCTCCTTCTAGAAGGACGTCTTTCGGGGGGGGCGGGGGGGGGCGGGGAGGAAGGCTCTGTTATGGCAAAGGGCTGCAGGTCACCTCCCGAAATAGATCCCCGCCTGGCACACACATACAGAGTTTGCCCCCAGCCTGCCTTGCGGGAGACTGGCAGGGTATGCGAATTGGATCTGAATCAGTGGCTGTAAACACACAGCTGTGCCTTTCTGCCTCATAGGAGTTTGATTTTCACTTGACTGCTCGGCACATTGGGGTCTGGGGAAGGCAGGAGAGGGACTGCGTGGGGCGAGAGCGAGGGCTGGGGAGAGGAGGAGGCGGGCAGCAGAGCCTTGCTCACCCCGTGTCGGGAAGCTGAGTCACCACTGCGTTTCTTCTCTGAGTGGGCACTCCACGGGGAGGGCATTTTTGGCAGCTTTTGGTTGACAGGTTGAACCATCAGCTGCAGCAGCTGGGGATTCCTCCTAAAGCGGCAGGGTCTAGGGCTGAGTGTCTCAAAAATGACAACCTCTGACCCTTCTCGATAAATAAAAAAATCTCAGCCTTCTCCAGGGATTCAGAAAGACTCCCCAAACCCCCCATCACGGAGAACCACTTCATCATTTGGTCTTCTCCGCATCCCACCAGCCGGGCTGGTGTGGTTGTCTTACATTTTATAGCTTGTTTATAAAAAAATAGACTTTAACATTTTCATTTTCCAGCTACAAAATTATAATATTGAATATGCTTTTTCAAACTTCACTTGGAGCCAAGTTAGAGAGAGAGGGATAGAGACCAGAGGAGACAATCTACCACTGACTGTAACCAGGCTCACACGGCCTCTTGTGACCTCTCTGGCCCATCTCTAAGAGAGGGCAGTGGCCAGTCTGCCCGGAGCTCTCCAAGGAACTGCAAAGCGTGGTAGCAGGTGAGCAGCAGCGGGACGCTCACATTTCATTCCTTCCCAGGCCCCACAACGGCGGGGCGATGCGGCAGCACGCGTACTGGAGCCCGCCCTTCTGCCCAGCTGACACCCCCCTCGCCGCCGGCTCTCAACACACCCAGGCTGGGCGTCCATCCCGGAAGGGCGGGGACTGTAGAACCCGCAAGATCGACAGGATGTGTGTTGCTTACCCCGTTCTTTGTGACGTCTCCTTCCCTGCCCTCCAGGGGTCGCTGTGTCTGAGTGAGCCCTGAGCAATGGAGGGAGCAGGCAGGCCTGAGGCTGGAAGACTGCGGCATCCTTCGTTCTGCCGGGGCTTTATCCTCAAATCCTTGTGAAAGGATCTTAAATCCACACCCAACCCAATTCTATCCATGGTTTATTTCCCTGGTGTCGAAGGCTGGCAGCCACTTCCTGGGCAGGAAGGCAGCTCCTCTCTCATTCTGAAGGACGATTAGCACAACTCAGAAATCTCAGGATGGAGAGAAGACAGACCTGTAGAATGCTCCCAGCTGGAAAAGTCCTTAGATTACCTAGTCCAAGCCTTTGTACATAGGAGAAAACCAGGGCTCAGGGAGGGCTAGTGATTTGCCTGAGGTCACACGGCAAGCAACTGAGGCTAGAAGCAGGAGCTGCTCTGCAACATGGGGGCTGCTAAGTTTCAGAGTCCCAGGAGAAGTCTCCACTGCTCGAGAGAGGCAGATTTTCATGCTTTCCCTCCCAAATGCTACTATGGAAGTCCAACTCCATCCCCAGGCAGGCTACTGCTGGATCTAAGGGCTGGCGCTATGGTCTGTGACCCAGTGGTCCCCAAAGGGCCCAAGGACTGCTTGCAATCGAAACCAACTCTGTTTAAAGATTTTTAGCCAATTGTCCCTTGCGGGAGGCCTGAAAGGAGTTTTTCCACTGAGGTCAAAGCCCTCTGGGGCTCTGCTGAGTCAGGGTATTTGAGAACGCAGTCCACCAGAGTGCATGGTTGGTCCCAATCACATGCTGAGGGAGGGGGAAAAAACCTCCTGGGGGAGGGAGCTGCTAATGCGGGGTTGGCGGAGCGCCCTGGTGGTCTGCCCTCTGCCTGGCCTGCCAGGAATCTCAGCCTTCCACTTCCGGTTCAGCACCTGGGCCTGGAGCTGGGGGTTTCTTCCTGCAGAGCTGTCTGGAAGGCGGGGAGGTGAATTGCTGACTTTTTAGGTCTCTTTAGCTTTTTCTTGGCTTTTGGCCTGGGAGGGAGGAAAAGGAGAGGGAGGGAGGGGGCGAGGGAGGGTGGGTGACAGCTGGCTCCTAGAGCTTCCTGATCTCCATCTGACTTTCCTGCTGCATTCCTTGGCAGGCAGGACAGAAATGCCTGTCGAGGAGATGCCACTCAGCACATGCCAAGGCTCCCTCCACTTCCGGCCCTTCCTGTTTCAGTTCCAAGGAGCACCTTGACAAAGCTCAACTGCGATGTTCTCTCAGGAGAGGGATGAACACTTGGTCCCCATCTGCGCTCTCCTCTGTGCCTCCAGTGCTTGCTTGGGCACCAGCATGCCCATTGCCCATCTTTGGAGCCCAAGGCTACAGCTGATGAGGCTCTCAAGCGGGCAGCTAAGGCTTCAACTGAGCTCCAAGGCACAGGCGTCCAGGGAGGCTGATGCCACGGTCACTTGAGGCTGCCACTTCTCCTACCCTAAGTGCCGTCACTCCATGGAACTGTGCATGAGATGCAGAGGACTTTCACCAGCTTCTCCTCCCCAGGGTAGAGATCTCATCAGATGGCTTCAGCCACCATCCGAAAAGGGACAATCAAATTGCTGCTGCTGAGCCTTGGCTGAAGGCTCTTTGCTTCCTCTCACCCTTCTCTGATGCACCCCCCTGGTCCTATATGTCAGAGGCAGCCTCTGGTGAGGCCCTCCCCACTTTGTGGTTGACCCTGAAGGAATGAGCATGAGGGGGATGGAGAACCTTTCAGTTCTGGCCATCCTCCTACCCTCATTGTCATCTGTCAACTGCAAAAACCAGTAAGACAGCAGAGAATGGCAGGCTGGTGGGCACTGAGAAGTAGGAAGTAGTCTTTAGTGAGGCAAGTCCCCCACTCCCCCCGGTAATGCCTGGGACTTCCCACCAAAGAACCTGAAGGGGAGATGGAAGGTGACGTGAAGCACCCCACAACAATGAGCCAGCTCGCTCTTACTGTGGCTCTCATGTTTTATAGCCACTGTGAAAGGAAGCTTCCCAGTGGACAGGACTAGGGAGAGACAGGCTCTGCTCATTTGACCTGAGGCCGTGTCTGGGCACCCCCTTGAGAAGCTGCTATGTGTTACAGCTCTTCTTGAGATGGGGGTTCCTCGGACCAGGGCTACCAGGCACAGTGGTGTGAGTCATTCACTGCACAAGGGCAGCTGAGGGTCAAGTAGGGGCTGAAATCCAGCTTACGCTTTGCTTGGCCAGCTGGGCATCTGTGGGGCTGGCCTGTTAGAGGGAGTCCTGTTTTCTGTTCTGAATAAAGGTGCAACATGGGCAAGTTGTGCCATGTCAAGGACTTTCGGTTATGTTTGGTTCTGCACCTGGGCCTTCCCCGTCAAATCAGCAGGCTTTCTGCAGGCTCTGTGGCCCTAGTCCACCAAACCACACCATACTCGGCACACCATATTCCCCAACATTTGCTTTGATATTCAAGTTCTGGGTAACTCAGAATGAAACTTCCACTGGGACGAGGAGCTCCTACAGCATTGCCTCTATCGGGGATTGCAAGGCCCCTTCAGCACCAAACTAGCATAGCCTCAGCAGCTACCAGGAATCACATTAAACGGCTCCCAAGGATCTCCTGTACCAGGGGGCACCTGTGGCCTTCAACAGATAACCCCTCCATGTCATGATACACCTCGAGACTTGGAAAGAACAATTTGCTTCCTCCAAACGTTCCTCCTTAAAACAAAGGACATTGGCATGGGAGAAATTCTGTATTCAGACTCAGTCTTGATAAGAAGCTAGCTGACTGAGCTAACAAACCCCCTGGATCAACATTTCTTGCCACCAGTTTGTCCTAAATGGCAGCTGGCCTCACATCCTTAGTCTAAGAGCTACCCAGCTTCACTCTCCTATTTTTCCATTGTTAGCCCCATGACATGGATGGTCTTTTTACACACATTTCCCACCACCATGAGAATGCTATTGAACTAGACTTTCATTGAGTTTTATAGGTTGCAGTGTCTAGCAGGTGAAATATTCACGTAAACCTTCCTTTAGAGAAACCAAGCACTGTATGTATATTATATCCAGAAAATGGCTATCAAATTGCAAGGCATATTGGTTGGTTGGTTTGTTAATTCCATTTGACTAGAACACGGGGCTGTTGATACCAGTTCTTGGGTTCCAAGTACTCTGAGAGTTGTCACTACAGCCTTGGGCCATTGCCTCAAACCCTCAAACTCGGTCACATCTTGTGAAGATGTGGTGTTACCCCAAGAGCACAAAGAGCATGGATGGATCCATGCAAATCCATTTCCAAATCCACCACTGGAACCAAATATCTGAAAGTACCACCCATTAGAGTCTTCATAAAAGAACAACAGGGAATTTAGGAATTTTTTAAGTTTGGGCCTTTTATCATATAGATGCTAAAAATCTCAAGAGTTAGGAGATTTTTCTCTTTCAGTGGGCCCTAAAAACATCTCCGGAAGTTGTCCCAAGCGCACACTTCAGACACTTGGAAGGTGTCTGGTGCTTTCTTGTTCCAAATGCTTTGTTAACAGACCTTGGAGAAGCACTGAACCAACAGCACTTCTGGGATGAAGGGACGTCAATCAGCGCTCTGCACAGAGCTCCATCGAGATCATTCTTGCCTTTCTGGATACCCCTTCTCATGAAAAGCAGCCTGCAGATGTTTGGACATCTTGTCTGAGTACCAGGCTTCCTCGCTCCACCCTCAGCCCACGCAGTCAACCTGGAGGGCCTCCAAGGGTCTGTGGGAGTTCGGCTTTCCCGCAGTGTGCACCTGACAGTCCAAGCTGCCTCACAGTACACTCTAGGCTTGTCAACAAAATCCCTAAACATTCTCCATGCACAGCATCCAGGCTTCAAAAGAGACTGGGAGGGATGGGTTCTCACCACTCTCTATCGGGACCTCAGGGATGAAAGAACTCTATAGGCCTTGCCTCTGACAGCCTGTGGCATCTTCTTGGTGTGTGAAGCCACATGGCCATGGCAAACCAGCCATTAAGACAGACAAGGGGCCAGTATGCCTTGCATTCTGCAAGTTCTGACCTCTCACGAGGAAAGACCATAGAGAGGGAAGACAAAGAAGAGAAGGGATAAGCAACCATATTGTAAGTGCCACCCACTAGAGTTATTGTGATATTTACATTTGGCAAATTCAAAATAAATGTTTAAATTCAATTAAAATGCATCTAGCTATGATAGGTAAATGACTAGGTTGCTTTCAACCCAGAATTCTTAGATTTCACGTTAAAAGGATGAAATAAAGATACAAATCACACAGTAGTCAGGTTTTACAAGGACTTTCCTCATCAACAGAGGGGGGAAAATGGCAAGTCAGCATCAGTGGGCTGCGACTCTTTGAGAAGGGAAATTTGGCCAGTTCCATGCATGGGATCCCTGCTCCCCAGCTGCCATCTAGGTTCCCTTTGGTTTGATGTTAACAGTGCAGGCTGGGTCCCATGAACTCAGCAGCTGGTTTTGGATGAGTAAGTGAATGAGCAGGATTGAGTACCTCTTGTGCATCAAGCACTATGCTCAAATCTTGCAGAGGACAGCATGGAAAGGGGAGATGGGTCTGTGCTGTCTTACAGACCACAATACAGAATCTCTCCCACGTGCCACAGGGAAGACCTACTCATTCAGCACCCTCACCTTGACCATGGGGTCTCCAATGTGCCACAGTGGTGGTCTCTACCACCCTCTAAGCTGGGTGTGCATGGGGATAAGGCCACTTTCCTGCAAGGACAGTGAACCTGTATCCGGTCTTTACTCCCTCTATCAGAGTCAGGGCCTGGGGAACTTGACCAGACCTTGCTCCTGGGAGCACAGGGACAGTGCAAGGATTTGTTGCGCCCTCCATCACAAAGCTACTGCTCTCCTCTCCCTGTCACACTAGGCAAATGAGGCTGACAGGGGACTGTAAAGAATGAACTCATGCAGAGGCCACCAACACACACGCCAGCTAGACCACATCGCCAGAACCCATGCAGCACGGCCGCCTTCTGCACACGCCAAAGCCGCCCACACAGCAGCAGCAGCTCGCGACCCACTCCCGCATCATTGCCAGAGTTCACAGGGGGAAATTTGGAATTTTTTCTTTTTTAGATGAGCTACAGTTCTGAGCCAATTTATTTCATGGTATAGTTCGATGGCTTTCTCCCTGGGCTGCTGCAGAAGATGCACAAACCACGCAGCCCCAAGGCAGCCGGGTCCTTCCTCCTCAAAGCCCCGAACAGAAGATCAAACGCGAGGCCCGAGGCTGGGCGGTCGTGCGTGCACCTTCTGCAGAGGGAGCGGCTGGGTCTTTTGCAAATCCATCCCTCGAGGAGAAGCTGCAGACACTCGCAAAAGAAAGGGGGTGTGTCGAGGGGGAAAGCACTGGACTCCCGCCCACCCCAAAGGAAACGACAACCAAAAACAAAGGAGAAAAAAGGGAAAACCAAACGAAACGCTGAGGGAAGAAAACCAGCTGAACTTACCACGCTGCGAGTGAACTTTTCTAAGGAAGTTCTACGACCTTGCTCACTTTCTGGCTTTAGGAAAAAAAAAAAAAAAGGTGGGGAGAAAAATACAGAAAAAAAAATCTTCAGCTTACACGTGGTTTCCAAACAGCAGCAGCCGCAGCTAATGAACAAAAACAAAGCCAAACGGGGCGGAAACGGGGAAAGAGGAGCAGCCAGCGCTGCATGCGAGAGTCAGTGGGAGACAGGAAACAGAAGCCCCCAGGAAATGGTGCTGCTGCCTGGGGGCAGGGGGAGAGAGGGCTGCGCTTCTCTTCTCCTGGGGCATGAATAGGGCCTCAGGGCTCCGAGAGGGAGCCACCGCCTCCTTGTGCAGGGCCCATGGTCAGGGGGTTCGAGCTCCTGCTCACTGCTTTCTGCTGGCCGTGCCCATGTGCAGGAGCCCCCCCTTGGTTGTGTCCCTGAGGCCACAGGCAGCCTTCTGGGGACCCCAAGTGGTGATACAGAACAGACTTGCTCTGAGGGCCTGGTGTGTGTGTGTGTGTGGGTGTGTGTGTAGGGGATGCAGATGAGACCTCAGGACATGGCTGTGTGCGAGGTGAAGTCATCAGCTCCTCCATGAGTCTGTGTTAGGACTTTCTCTGGGATTTTCCCACCCAGACTCAGCCAGAAAGTTTGCTAACTTCACTGACTTCCTAATGGCCCCCTAATGACTCTCATTCTGTGTCCTTAGAACAAGGATTGTCTCCCATGTCCTGTGCAACGACACAAGGTCTTGAATCTCAGAAGGAATTTCTGGACGGAAAATGCTCTTAGTGTCCAGGCAGGCATTCCAAGGTTGACTCAGGGCAGGTACAGCAGGCTCGGGAAGCTCCCTGGGCACTCTTATCTGAGGCGCCCTCGACAGGGGCAAGGGGAGGCAGAGCACTTGCATGCCTCCCATGCCTCGCTGCTCCCTCTGCTGGAGGACAAGAGGGTGTGGCATGCACCTGATCCTCTCCCCAAGTTTCCTGCCTGCGCCTGCAGGGGTTTCAGAAGAGAATTACATCCCAAACACCTGCCAGTTTATCCTGGAGCCCTGTGCCAGGGTCCTGAACCTGGGAAATTCAGAGAGTACACACACTCACGTGGTCGCACACACACACAGCAAATAAATAATGGAAATTAGGGAGCTGAAGAAGCAGCCAGGTGTCTGTGGGGCTGCAGGATGTGCTGGAAGCAGAGGGCAGGAGAAAGCCAGCCATCTGTCTGTGTGGACCAGGTCAGAGGGCTTCCTTGGCAGGCATGCCCCCATCCCCTCTGCTGGCTGCTGGGAGACAGGATGGTGCAGAAAGAAAAACACGACAAAAACGACACACCACCACAGAGCCCGGCTGGTCTTTTTCCTTGCACAAGAACGGAAGGATCCACGCTTGGGTGGGCACCATACCAAGTCTCCACTCTGGGGACGGCAGCACTTAGCTTCAATCCGGACAGCAGCCCGGGGGGCATACATTTGGCTCAAGTCAGGCCATTCCTAGGCCCTGCAGCTAGCGTTCTGTGCCTTTCATTCTTGTCCTCTGGCTACCGTGTTCCTGCTCACAGAGGACAGCCATCAGCCTGACTCATTTGGGCTCCTCCGCCTCGCACAGGCCTTCCGAGCTGCCCTGGAAAATCATCATCACTGGTACTTAATTGTCCGGGAGGAGCCCTCAAAACCCAGCTCTCCTACCCCTTGAGAGCCTGGTTCATCAGAGCGACTAACCTTATCTTTAAAAATGTTAGGATAAAGGATGAATTGGAGATGAAGGAGCAGAAGGCTGTACCTCCAGACTCCATCAGGGGACTTTCTCAGCAGAAAAGCCAGGCCAATTCATATCCGCTTTCTTCACTGAAGGTTGTAACTCATACCTTTTATGACCTGGACATTTATGTCACATGGTAAGCCCATCCCTGACATCAGAAGATACGCTAGGCCTACCTGAAAGTGCCGAGTTACACATCCGATCCACCATACCTGGAGAATCTCAGGGAGAAATGGAAGAAAAGTAGGTTTGTCACTGTTTTTGGAAACAATTAACCCCTGAATATCGGAAGGGTGTTGGCAGCTGCAAAAGCTTTCTGCCCCAAGAACGTCCCTTAATCTAGGGACTGGGAGGATAATTCTAATGAACTTCATTTGAAACATTTCACGGGAAGGTTGTTGGTTCCTTCCTCACTCAAGTGACCTCCTCTGAGAAGTCTTCCTCTCATGGGAGGACCTGCAGGCACAGGTGCCTCAGCCCCACTCCCTACACTGGGGGGCATCTTCCCTTTGTGCTCAGACCTACAAGGAGTCTGAACAGCCTCTGACTTCTTCTGGGTGCGTAGACAGGTCCCGATTGGTTAGACTGCTAGAACCTCAGAATTTCCCCAAATTGTGACCAGTGCAGGGTCTTGAGCCACAAGAAGTAAGGAACACTTACTTTGAGCCTCTCTTCTGAGATCTGGGCTGGAGATACCAAAAGTCTCTGTAACCATTCTTGAAAAACTGGGCATGAGAGCCATTTGCGGGGGTGTCAGCCCCCTCCATCAGAGCCCCTCCACCTCCATCCTCCAGCCAGGGAGCTGGCAAAGGCCAGGCTTCACACGTTCCAGCATAGTAGCGACACTTGATGGAAGTGGTAGAGGCAACCCAGAAAGCTGGTTCCTGACAATCTGGGCATTCCAGAAGTCCTTTTCTCTTTCTCAGACTATCGGGAATGTTCTCTTGTCCTACTTAAGGGCAGGAGAGCAGGATATAAATGCTCCTCTAGACTCTGGAGTTATGTGGTACCAACCAGATACACAGACAGGATCCTGGCACATGAGGTTGACAGTACACAGAGAGAAAGGCCATGTGGCTGGAAGAGGCAGCCCGACAGAGAGCGTGTCGATGGACAACCACATGCTTGGGGACTGGGGTTGGGAAGCCGAGAGGGGAGAAGAAAGGGATGCACATGTTCCTAAATGGCGTGTCATGGAATTTGGTGAAAGAGAGCCACACCTAGCCACATGTGGGTCTCAGATCAGAGCTGGAAAGTGCAGAGGGTTTGCAGGCACACTGGAATCATGAACCATCTCTCCTGCCTCCCCTTTTCCAGACCCCATCCACCTCCCGGCTCTTCCGTCCCTCCTCCCAGAAATCCAGCTGAGTTCATCCCTGCTTTAGTTGCCCTTCACCACCCACATGCTGAGGATCCCTGGGTCCCCAAATCCAGACGCCAAGGGCTACAGGAAACGATGACTCAATTCTAAGCAGAGAGGAAGAAGGAGCTAGGATGCAGTTACTTCTTGGTTAAACGAGAAGGGAAAGACTGTGGGGCAGGCAAGGGAGACGAAGGGGGTGTCAAGGAGAGAACAATCCCAGGAAGGACTTCAGGTACCACATGGCGCACTTGAAACCTATGAGGTTTTCTGTCCAATGAGGGGGCTGCCCAAGTCCTTGCCTCAGACCGTCTCTGAGCTGGTCAAGGAGAGGAAATCTGTGGGGAGCGAGCTGGACTTTGCAGTGAAGGGCTCTCTCTGGTTTCCTAAGGGACCCACTGGTGTCACTGCCAGCCCTGTACTCCTGTGCTGAGCCACTGTGGCCTTAGTATTTGGTTATACTCCCACTGTGGGCAGAACACACAGATGGAGATAATGGGGACATGGAGACAGGATGCCACACCCTGGACTTTGGGGGTGGGCTGGGGTGGTGACAATCCTAGTTGTCTTCCATTGGAGTGGGAGCAGATAGAGAAGGGAAAGAAGAAAAGAGAAAACAAATAAAACCCAAAGGATGATATTCTCATCTCACACCAGCAGCAAGCAGCAGGCAAGGGTCCACAGTGCTAAGAAAGGCGAGCCTGCCCTTCCCAAAGATACCTTCTTCTTGGCCAGCAGCAAGTCCTGGTAAGCATTTGAGCGGAGGAAGCGGGCATAGCTGTCACTCTTCATCAGCTTGTAGATGTGCTCCTGGGGAGGAAGGAGGCAGGAAGACACAAAAAAGAACTGTCAACCAATGCCAAAGGGGATTACAACCCAACTGGCCACTGTTTTAGGAAAACAACAAATGAATCGAGGTCTGCTTAGAAAACCTTGCAACATGTTTGTTTTGTTTTCTCCATGCAGAAACACCAAACGAAACATATTTTCTCTCCTAGAGTAAAAGATCCTTGAGGATCACGTCCTAGAGGCTTTGTAATTGGGCTTCAGTGCCATGTTGGGTGTAGTATTACTTAATCATTAAAACCACAGGCACAGCGATGAGAAGGAACAAACTGTGGCTGCACCCCACCACTTGCGTGAATCTCAAGGGACTCATGATGAGAGAAAAGCCAATCCCCAGAAGGTTACACACTGCACAATTCCATTGATATAATATTCTTGAAATGACAAATCATAGAAACAGACAACAGATTAGTGGTGGCCAGGGGCTGGGGATGGGGGAGGGGAAGGGAGGGAGGTGTAGTTATAAAAGACAATAGGAAGGATTCTTGTGGTGATGAAATGGCTCCGTGTATCTTGACACAATCCTGCATGTGTGATAGAGTTGTATAGAACTACACACACCACACACATGAGTACAAGTGAAATGGGCAAGTCGGATCAACTCACTGGGTGTAGCTATGCCAATATCATGGCTGTGACATTGTACTCTAGTTTTGCAGATGTTACCATTAGGGGAAATTGGGTCAATGGTACATTTCGGTACTATTCCTCATGATTGCATGTGAGTCTGGAAGTATCTTGAAATAAAAAGTTCAATTAAAGGCAATGGGCAATGGGCAATGATGCAACTGGGTCAGTTGTGCATGTCAGGGCCGCCGTCTTATCCTGGAAGGGTGCCCTTGGCCATCAGATCATGGGGCATGTGGGCAACTATGCCAGGCCTGATGCTTACATCCAGGAGAGGCAGAGGCTGTGGCATGCTGCCCTCTCTTCTCCTGGGCTCATACAGGCATTTACATTCTGGCCTTAGCAATGAATTTCACCCTTGACTTCCAGGTAATTCCTATAGCCTTGTGGGCTCTTCCTAACGGGTCTGTCTTCACTAAGGGCAGGGAAAACCTGGCTCATTAAAAGAGGGAGCTTGTTGATTGAAAAAGGGTTATTTATCAGTTGAAATGGAATGTAACTCAGCTGTACAGGAAAGCCTGGCTGTCCCAAGACAGGACCCATTAGGAGGCAAGGTGGGCTTTCACTACGGAGGGTGCGATTGATAGGCAGAGGCTGGCCTGGTGGAGGAAGCATCCTCCCTGATGTGTACTCATTGTTCATCCCATGAAGCTGGACAAGGGCACCAGCCCTTGGGGGAATGGAGAGCCAGTCAGTGAGGAGACAGAGCTCAGCTGAGAGGCTGTGCTGGTCATTAAAGACCTCTTCCTCGGGTACTCTTCCCAGGGGAAGGAATGGGAGGGGGAGGCAGAGACCTCTCCTCAACTGGGGACACATTTTAGAGATACCTGGCCAGACTGCTGTTGCATCCCAGAGGAATCTGGGGCAATGACAAGAGCTTGCTGAGACCCTTTCCCTTCCCACCTCCAAAGAAAGTGGAAGCAGACAGCAAGAAACACCTTGGCCGCAGGTGTATCCCTCTCCATCCCATCCACAGTTGGACCACAAGAAGCTGTTTGGGCACCAAAGTCATTCGTCCTCAGATGGTCCTATATTTACAAAAGCAGGATGCAACGCCACTAATGGGAATGGGCCCACTGCAAGGAGCCAAGCGAAATTAAATAGTGGCTTGGATCTGAACCTACTTTGATAATCCAGATGTGCTCTGATTTAATACACTTAGTGAGAACTTGCCTCCCCAAGTGTTTTCCTGCAAATTTCTGACAAAACCCAGGCCCACTGTGGTTTAAGTTCCTTGAGGGAACAATAGGTTTTTACCTCTTATATATGCATAGTGTTCAGCACAGGGTCAATTGTTGGTGGAATTTACATTGTTTCTGGGTTCACCGAAATGCTTGTTTAATTCAGTGTTCCCAAATTTGGAGGCTTGATACTTGTTTTGGTGTATGATGGGATCGGTTCCTGCTCTCTGTATGGCAGGAGAGTGGGGATTGCTCTCAGCTCAAAGGAATTCCATATGTGAGCATCCTGGCCCATCCCTAATGGCCTCAGAGCCCAGACTGAGGGCATCATTGGTCTTTGTTTTCATTTGTTGTCTCTTTAAATTGTTTTAACATTTAAATCTTAGGTACAAATGTTAACCCAGAGTAAAAATGACTCCCTGTCTCCTCTTCTTGTCTCAAGCATCACCAACAGAGCCAGGTGGCTCTTGAATCATCTGGAGAGGCCTGTCACTCATGCCTGTACCCTCTCCAAGGCTACAGGTCCCTGATTCTTGTTCTTCATAGAGGAATCTAAACCCCAGGTATAGCTCACAAAATACCCCCTTGATGCCCCCAGAGCAGTAAGGAAAACTCTCCTAGCCCAGCACTTCTTGCCTTGGCAACAAATGTCACCCCCGATCCAGCTAATTCCTCCAGCCTCATCGTGGGCAGGAAAAGCCTGGTCCACTAAAAGAAAAGAACTTGTCAATTGAAAAAGAGCAGGATAAAGCAGGTGCCCAAACATTTAATCACAAAAATATTCACAAATATTTCCTGAGCATCTACTGGGTGCCAGGCACTGTGTCAGGCATTGAGATTACAGCCTGGACGACAGAAGAGGTCTCTGCTGTCATAAGGCTCAGATTCTATCAGGCAAGATTGATGCACAAAAATAATAGACTACTACTATCAAAGTGGTCTCAGATCCAAGCCACTATTTGATTTTGCTTGGCTCCTTTCAGTGGGCCCATTCCCTTTAGCAGGGGTGCACTCTGCTTTTGTAAATATGAGGGCATATTTGAGCTAAGGGCTACATAGAAGAGGTGCAAGTACAGGTGCTATGAATTGGTGTGAATGGGATGACCTCCCCTGCCAGAGGTGGGGAATGGTTGTCTATCAACCAGAAAGATCCTCATCAAAGGAGGAAGCTCTGAGCAGACAGCAAGCAACGTATCTCCCGATTCCGTGGGAACTGAGGGTGGGAGAGTCTGGTCTTGCCGCTGTGTAGTCTGGTCAACCAGAGTAAGAAGGACAATCCAGGGGCACAGAGGAAGAAGCAGCAGACAGTGCTGGTCACTCTCCAGGGGGTCGATGTGGGTCGAAGGAGCAGTTTGGGCACTGCTTTCATCGTCCCCATGTCACATGGGCAACTCCAGAGCCAGAACCAAGGTGGAGACAGTGTGGGGAGAAAGCAGGGAGAGGGAACAGGACCTGTGGAGGGGGGTTGCATGAGGAGGTCTCACTCTATCAACCTCTTTGCCAGCCCTTGACCATCATTAGGACACTCAAATTACCCTGGGAGGGAACAGCCACCAGAGCAACGATAGCAGAAGCAAGAAGGCACAGGTCTGAGAAAAACAGAACCCGAGAACATCTGCAGATCTCCTGTGCCCCTGCAGGGCCCGGGACTTGAGGCTCCTCTAGCCTCGGCCTCCTCTTCCCACAGCCTTCAGCTCCATGGCTCTCCTCTGCCCTCCTCTCCTCCCCCAAGCAAAGAAATGGAGCCTTTGATGTACCCAGTTATGGAACTCTGTTCCTTCCTCCTCGCCAGCTTTGTCTAAGAAACACAAAGACAGTAAACAGGGGGTGGGAGAATGGAGCGCGGAGGTTTTTCTGGGAATGAGAATTAAGATAGGGCTCAGGGTCTTTGGCCAGTTCCCAAATGCAATGAGTTTATCACTGCCAGGGACAGCAAGTGTACAGAGCTCTTGGCAGTGACCTCTCCTGATTTATGAGGGGTTCTGGTTTGCTTCCCCTGCTCTGCAGACAACCAGTCTTAAGGGAAATGTATATTCAGGATCTGCAAGGAACAAGAGAGCCACTGGCAAAACCAGCGAGCTCCCACTGAGAGAATTCCTGAGGAGCTAGAGCAAAAGAAGGTTGCTCTTCTTTTCTCTACTTAGCTTTTTCTTGTCTTATCTTCAGCCTTTCCTCCATTCCTCCCTCCCCCTCCTTCCTTCCTTCCTCTGTGTCCTTTATTTTTCTCTTTCCTTCCTTCCTTCTTTTCTTCCTTATTCTCCTCCCTCTGCCTCCTCCTTCTTCTTTCTCCCCCCCCTTTTTCCTTTCTCTCTCCCTTTTTCTCTCTTTCTCTAAAAAAGAGATGATCAAGTTGACTATGAACAGGCAGAACTGTGGGGGTCCACATCTGCCTTCCCGACAGGTGGGGAGGCACCTGCTCCAGGAAGGTGAGGAACGGTCCCCGTAGGTTGAGAAACTGATGCTCCAGGGCCCTGCATCATACTGAACGTCTTAACTGCAGTTCTCAGCGGGGGAGGGGAATCACATCCCTGTAATGGTGACAGTTATAGCACAGGGATGTCACCCTGAGAAGCCACTTCACCCACATTCCCTTTTCGGTCCTGGCCCTGGGATGGGGATCTCTGCTTGCCTGGGATGCCAAGGCAGAAGCAAAAACAACTGGAATGAGTAGGGTCCGAGACCCATGTGGGAGCTGAAGGGAGGGAGCAGTGCAAGCTGTCTCAAAACCACACCTGCTACAAATCAATGTTTTGCTGTGACAGTCCCCATTTGGAAATCTCCTTTATTTTAGACAAAACACAGTTACCCTCACAAGCCTTGGGGAAGGTAATCGACAAATGCCTGGGGCCTTGGGCCCCAGCACGCTGGAGCAGCTGAACTACTTACGAACATGCTTATGTCCTCCTCTTTGCTGTGGGTTCCTACAACAGCTAAGATCTCATTTCCCAGCTTTGGAACATCCTGCTGGAGTGGGAAACACTTGGCTGGAGCACTGCACAGCTGCCAAGAGCCCTTCTTGTGATTTTCAAGTGTCCTATTTTTCTCTTTGCAGATGTATGTGCCTCATCTCTGCCCTCCAGACCCAAGCTTCCTGGAACAACATTCAGACTTTGGGAACTGTTGGGTCCTGCATAGTTCCTTGGAGGAAGATGAGGC